ATATTTTGTGGGTCAGAAGATAAAAAGTTTGGGAACTACTGCTCTAGACGACCACTCTAAAAATAAGTTTATCCACAAAAGCATTGACTCACAAAGCACAGAAGATGATAGTACCTTGCTTTTACCTGGAACAATTCTGCATCCTTTTTTATGATTGTATTTATGTGATTTTTTAATTGAGGTGGCACTATGGTGCTGTGGTTAAAGCTGTCACCTTTTTTTTTCCTTATCCCTGGCCTGGGGTCTTTCTGTGAGGAGTTGTGTGGGTTTTCTTCTCCATTTTCCTGCCACACAGACAAACACACACTGAGATGTTGCATTAACTAAATCTAAATTGTCCCTAGGTGTGTGAGAGAGCGTGAGTGGTTGTTTGCCTTGTTTGTCTCCATGTGTTYCTGTGGTGAACCTGCATCCTGTCCAGAATGTCCTCTGCCTCKTGCACTGCTGGAGATAGGCACCAGYGTTTCATGACCCAGAAACAAAACAAAACAAACACAGGCAAAGAAAAAAGACAATTAGGAACTTAAATTAAGAAGGATATTAGGGTATCATAATTTTGTTTTTACTTAGAACATTTTAGTTTTGTTAGGAAAACTTAATAATAATAAATATAAACAGTAAGAAACCCATCAATGTTGAAGACTGAACTGTACTATATACTTTGGAACACTACGAAGACTATCAAACCCAAAAGCCAAAAAGACCCAGACTATATGTTTTGCTTTTACATATTTTCTTTCATTATTCTATTTATATCACTTAAACGTTGTCATATTATGTCTTTATATTCCATTTGCAGATACTCAACGCAAGCTAAAAAAATAAAATACAAAAAGGTTTTCCTGAATCACAACAAAAGGGTAGGTGGAATTCAATTCTGAAGTGAGGGTACGCACTCAATATAAACAAAAAAAAAAACTTTTTCTGCAACAAACTCAACAAATATATGCATAATTAGCTATTTACCAATACATCAAAACTGTCAGACTTCTCAATCTCAAAGAGAGCTTCAGTCACTTCAACTATTTCCCTGGGTAAATGAAATTTAAACTTTTTTTTCAAGTTATGAACATATCCATTTTAGAAAAATATTGTGGGGATGTTTTTTTTTATGATTTTACTGATTTATTTTATTGTTCTAGCCCAGTGTTTCCCAAAGTTGGGGTCGAGACCCAAAGTGGGGTCCTGAAACATCAAGGTGGGGTCCTGAAAC